TTAATCATTCATACCTCATCAGCATTCAGCTGTCCTTTCTTAAAACGTGGCGGCGTATCCTTTGACTGAGCTTGCTGTTGAGATGAATGAGTCTGGCTCTGGAAAAGCAGATTCTGCCCCTTTGATCAGAACAAAAACACTTGTAATTTGCACTAATATTTTGAAGTCCTGAAGCATTAGTTATTTGGTAGTTGGGCATTCACCTGGTTGGATTTCATGAAAGGCTGGGGTGCAGGGGCCATGTGGCCACCGTGACCGTTGAAAAGAGGGTTTGTGCGACGGCCCATGGTGGGGGAATACCTGTCCTGAATGACCCCAGGGCCAGTACCAATCCCACTGCCTATAACCAGACAACAGATTTATTATGCTGGCAGTGAACTATAGAGCAAATCCAGTCATGCACCACCTGTCCCAGAAATGTCAACGCACTTCAGGACATACCTGGCATCTGCCCAAACATATCCGCTAATCCCCCAAGAGTTTCTCGATCAGGTTTCATTCTTGTCGGCAAGAAAGAACTTTCTTGAAAGAAGTCAGTCCTTATTCCTTGAGTCATCTGTGGAATAAAAACACCCAAGTCCTGCAAGGAACAAAGGAAAAACAAAAATACATCAGATTTCCATATCTGCAAGCATCTGCAAGCCTTTTCAGGCAACAGACAATTAGCTTCACACCTATAAACCTCAAAACTGCTCAAAAGTGAATTTGTCAGCTGAATTTCTAGAAATCAGCAGTTTAATTTTGGAAAATTCTGGTATTAGAATAGAACTACATATTTAGGAATCAATGTTGCTTTGAAACAGCAATGTCTACGGTAACATTCTAAACTGTAAAGTGACTATAAAAAGCGATTTAAACAATTTCACGTTCAGTATTGGGGGGGGTCAAAATTACAGTTTGGTTTACTTTAAAATAATCAAATTGGCCGATAAATATCTGTGACCGATACATCGGTGCATCCCCAACATAAATATATTTTTTAAATTTTATAGTAATACTAAATTGGCCAACAACAGTCGGAATGTAGTTTATGAAATGGTCACTGAAAAAGGCTGGTTCTTATAAACCGTAAAATCCAAATATGAACACACAAATTTCAAGTTTTCTCCCCAATAATTTAGCCCTAAATTTGACTAATAATGTATAATGTAATTTTTTTAGACTAACATTTCAAACTTCAGAAAAAAAAAAAAA